AATATATTGATAATATTTATAATAACCAATATTAATTACAATATCTATAATTAATTTTGTCATATAAAAATAATTACGGCAGCCTAAAATAATTACAGTAGCCTAAAATAATTATGGTAGCTAAAAATAATTATGGCAGCTAAAATTATTTCTGGCAATTATATTTTTGGCAAATGCAAAATTAATTAAGGTGTCATCTATAGGCATTTAAATATAGTATGAATTGGGTTAGTCTATATAATATAGGTTGTTCAGCAGGACCTTAACATGCTGAGGACAATTTTTATTGTCAGGTGGTAGGTTGCAAGCATGTCTCTGTTTATCTTCAGATAGGCATATAGAGTTAGTCTGAGTCTTATTTTTTAATAGTTATTAGAATAAGTTGTGTATTTTGTATTATGTAATAATAATGTAAAAGACTTTTTCTTTTTCTAATTAATAAATTTGAGGCAAGGACTTGCTGGAACTTTAAAAAAAAATCTAATATTACTTATTCATTAGATATGTATTATTTATTATTTATTATGTATTATTTAGCTTATCAATTATGTATACAAAAGAATGAAATTTCTCAAGTCTGATCTATCTAAAATAATAAAGGAATATTACATAAATACAGATCAAGTGCAATAATTATAAAACATTATTAATTGTTTCAGTGATACAATGTCTATTATCAAGTCTCCATACCATTATCTAAGATCAGATTTTATAGGAAGAATGGTTCAAACTTAAAAAAGATAAATATGAAAATCTTATTGATAGCATTTCACATTTGTATTATAAAATTTTTTTTTAATAATTTAATTAAAATTTTTTATTTTAAAAAAATCTAAAAATAAATATTAAATGCTATACTAATAAATAATAAAAATGATATTAATTAATCATAAATTTAAAATAGAGTGTTTACTGTAAAACTTTCAGGTCAGGTTTAATTCTCATATAATAATTTCCAGATGTTTAGAATTTAACCATTATTTTTAAGCTCAATTCTTGCTTATTAGATCTGAAACTTTTATAGTAGATACATTATATCTCAAACTTTTAGATTACTTAGTATTATTTTTATTACTTTATTAATAAAAACAAACTTTGGTATGTGACAACATTTAATAATTTCTGTATAATTTAATTTGATCGTTTTCTGGTCCTCTGAAAATTCTCATTTCTTGCTGTTTCCTTTTTGTCCTTGTCACTTTGAAATCTATCAACTTTATGTTTTTTTTTTTATGTGGAGTTGTTAATTCAATCCTATATTATAATAAAATTAATTATTAGTAAACAAGATAATCAATACTTTGAAATGAAACTAACGATTAACACTTTTTCCAACACATCACTATATATACGAAATAATCTGTTCAGGCAATCTTCTAAACGGACTGAACTGTTTATAGAAAATAAATAACGAAAATAAAAACAATATGAAGAATTGATAAATATGTAAATAAACACTTACATATGTGTTAATATTTGTTGAGCAATATTATGTTCTTCATAATACGATGGATAAATTTCCCATGAACAAAAAGATTTTTGAACAATTGTTGAGATATTGTTTCTATTACACATATCTTCGTTAAATTGATTTATGTACTGCGTAAATTTTTCTAAAGGATACTCACAAGTCAGGTAATTTGATCATTATTCAAAGATTTTTTGATTTTATTATATATTTTATCATCCGAAAGGTCTAAAATCTCATTAAGTATATATTTTTTTCCAGATTGTGTCTTTTTATTTTGTTGTGCAGTTAAAATTGCCAGTAATTTGTCGCGAATATTTATTTCATTCTAAAAGATCAGGTATAAGTATAATTACGATATAATATAAAAAAAAAATAGAAAATTCCTTCACTTTGTTCTAAATCAATCTCTGAATCATCAATGGTTTCTGCTGTTCACTTAATATAGGATGTAACAATGGTGTAGTGTATCTGTCATCAGCGTCTTTGCGGTTTTTTTTTGGATGACACTTTCTTAGAATCATCATCCTAAAAGTATTAAATGAAAAATGATTAGCTCCTCTAATTCATAACTCCTTAATTAAAAAATACGCATCCGTACCTCTTCCTTGAAGATCAAACAACGAAAGTTCCAATATTTCCATTTTACAGTTCCAGAAACATCTTACCCCACGCCTTTGTCAGATGACAATCTTGTTGACTACCATAGAGTGATAGATTCAGCTAATTGGCAGTGTTCTTGAACTATGTCCCGATTCATTCCATGTCCCGATTCATTCCATGTCAGCTAGAAGCCTTTGAACAACGGACAACTTAGAAAGCAATCTGCGCCCTGGCGAGAACTTTGAACGCGTGCCGTAACGAATAACCTAGAAAGTCACAGCTACGCTATCAATTCATGGCCATATTTAATGAAAAAAGAGTAACTTTTGTGCTTTTTCGCGTCTGTAATCTCTTTCACGATTAGCAATCATTGATATAACTATCTAAATTTATTAATTAATCGATCAGATTATCGTACACAGTACTGGCGATCGTAATAGTCCGTCATATGACTGAAATTTCTTCAGATGACTTTGAAGAATAAATATTTTGGGATATGCATAAAATGAAAGGATAATTAAATTTATTATATTTATTATCATATTAACTTGGAATCCCGAACTTTATAATAGTAATCTCATTGACGATGCTGAAAATAGCTTGTCCAATATTCCAATATTTAGAAGGAGTTGAAAAATTTATTTTGGCGTACATTCTTAATGTATGTAATATATCTTTTTAGTAAACGAATAAATTAAAAGTAATAATAATAGTAAAAAGAATAATGCAAAAATGTTATTGGATATTAAATAATTACAATGGTTAATGAATCTTTTATGCCCGAAAACTATCTCGGCAATTTGCGTAAATGATGATAAGAAAAATAAAAGGTTGTAATGATGTAAGAGGTGATAGATAATATGATTTTTATTTGTTGAAAAATTCCTCGTGTATGATGATTATGACCTATTTACTACAAAAAAAGTCATTTTTTATTGTTCGATAATTATTTTTTTTTTGCACGAACAATGACGCGTAAATTTATTATTATTTCAAATATTTCCTTTTTAATTACAAGTTCATAATTCTATTTATTTGTTTCTGTATTTATGTATTTATGATTATTTGTTCATGCTTATTATTATTTGTTCATACTTACGGAATAATCAAAAGGTAATATTTATTAAAGTTTATACAATGTAAACAATATCCTAGAACTTTCCTTGTCCTCTAATGTTTGTAGTACAATTATTTTCGACAGCCTTATCACAGGACCTTCTCTCCTTAGGTTTCTTTTCTTTTCTCTTCATACAATTATGTCTTACAGATCTTTAGCAGGATCGTGTTGGTTTAATTTAATTTTTTAAAAAAATAATGGGGAATTATATTATTCAAATAACAATGAAACAACATTAAAAGTGTTTATTGCAACTTTTTTGCATAATTTGTTGATTTGATGATTTTCCTGCGAATTGTATGCATGCGCGTACGTCCAATTCTTTCAATATATTCCTTTAACAAATATTTAATGTACTTTGAAGCTGCATTGCATATAATCCTTTATGATTAAGCCTTTATGATTAATCCTTTATTATTAATAAAATTCAATTTGTCGCCTTTGACTGATTTATTTTATCAATTTATTATTATTACTATCATTATTATTATTATTTTTTTTTTTTTTTTTTTTTTTTTTTTTTTACTTTATAAATTTTGTATTCCATTTCATAAAAAACTTCTTGCTGGTCCTAAAAAAAGGATTCCGAAGGCATTGTAAGTTATTTGAACATTGTAACAATACTTAGACTATACTTAGACATTTGACATTGTACGCTCTAGACGCATTACAGAAAATTGAAACCAACTCATTATGAACATTAAAAAGAATTGGTTATTATTTCGGAAGATTGCTTTTGCATCAAAATTATTTATTGTTGTAAATATTGGTCAATTAAAAAAAGAATCATTTAAACTTATCAGAAATTAATAATAAAACAATAGCTTATTTTTTTTTTAATAAATAAAAATCGGCAGAACTAAAAAAAGTGTGGCTAAGAACGCGTCAGAATAAAGAATATACTATAATAGGTAATTGAATAGATATTATTATGGGAAATATTTTTTCCGAAATTTATTTTCTCTTATATTGTTTCGCAAAGGGCGAGAATTATTAAAAAAAAAAAATATGTAATATATAAAATAAAAATATATGAAAAAAATGTGTTTTATCTACCCCACAATTTTTAAAACTGTATATTAGTTTAAACGACATTTTGATCGTTGCGTTGACCAAAGCTTAATAATATTCCTTTTTTTTTCTTTTTTATTGTCGATAGATGTATGGAGTAGATGTATGGAGTAGATGTATGGAGTATATGTTGATGTAGAGTTTAATAATAAAAAAAAAAAAAAACGCGCTGAAATTTTTGTTAATGTATGAATACAATATACAGAATATAAAATATAAAGAATAAAACCTGTTTAATATATATTGTATATGTATATGCATATATTTTTGGCAAAAATTATGACAATTTGCATAATACGCTAAAAGAACAATTTGAAGCCATTTTCGGGTAAACAAAAAAAAAATCAATAATAAAATTAAAAGAAATTTATCAGGTTCGTTCAAGTATATAAACCCCAAGAATTTCATGTCCCAAACGACTTTATGATTTTCGTAACTTACGTATTTTAATTTATCGTCGAAAATTTTGGGAAAAAATAACTAATTTCTTTGTTATTTATTTCTTCCCAAATCATATTTTCTCTATCAAATTTATCATCATTGATAGAAAAAATATGTTATGATTTAAAAATAGCTCCCTAAACTCTCTCCTCTTCATTATTATTCTCTTTTAATTATCTCTTTTCTTTCAAAATGATTTTGTATACCACGAAATAAATCGACGACATTTTTTAAACGAATAATTTTTTTCCGATTAAATATATTTTTATATATATATCTCTCTTGTATCGTTTACATTTTTCACTTTTTATCATTGAGAATTCAATAATTTCTTATTAATTTGGCATTCTTTTTATAATATTTTAACCCAGAATGAATTTTTAACTCTTTTTTTTTTTTACCTAAGAAGAACTTTAACAACTTTATTAATGTTTGTGCACGATAGAATTCGTAACTCGATCGAGCCAATATCATTAAAATCTACCTTATATATCTAAAGTAAAAACCAACGTTATAATATTTCAAAATTCAATCAAAAATTTAAAAAACTATAAATACTGTAAATATCAATATTAAAATTTAAACTATATATAAATTCCTCTTATAAATTTTATGCCATTATTTTTTTTTCTTTACAAATTTGCAACTTTCATCCTATACAAATTATAAACACTTCTTTATATTTTAAAAACATTTTTTTGCAAAAATTAACGACCAAAAAAAAACAACAACAACAACAACAACAACAAAACAACAACAACAATAAAATAAATTTTCAAGAAAAACGAAAATGCCATCTCAGAAACCGCACAAAATCGTCGTCACATTCTCAATTTTTCATCGATTAATCAATTATCTCGCACACACCATTAGTGGTATACAAAATCAAACAACATTTGATGATGACAGAGCTATTGCGAAAAAAACGTAATATGCGTAATATTTAAAAAAAAAAAAAATTTCAATGATTTTTTATTGATTTTTTTTTCTAGTGGAGAATAAAAACGACGATTAATTAATTAATTAATCATTATTCTCTACTTTACCTATACTCAATACCTTCCATATTCAAAATTCATTTTTCTATATTATATATATATATCGTGTAAATAGTATTATTAGAAAAGAGATAAAATATTAGAAGAGAATATTTTTGTTTTTTGGTTGTTTATATAGAATTCATTTATTATTATTATTTGCTTTTAGATTATTATATAGTATCATATATTTTTTTTTGCCTAATGGGTGTAGTAAGGACATTTTTATCACGTTATTTCCTGTTGGTTGAGGAAAAATTATCTTTTTTACTATTTCCAATTTTTTACTACTACCTTCAAATTTCTTTTTACTTCGACGAACCATTTCAATATAACCAATAGATTATATAGGATATGAGGGACGATAATTTCTCAATCACTATAGATTATAGAGGACTTAGGAGTCAGTCATCATCTACAAAGAAATTCTGTACTTTTTTATTTTTTTTAATGGAACTTTATTATTATATTTTTTTTTTAGAAAACTCTCATCTGAAAATTTGCGATGCTCTTTTATTTTCAACTATTTACATTTATTTTAAATTTCTTTTTTCCTTTTTTTTTTTTACTGGATGTAAAAGAGCAAATAATTCTAAAGTTCCTTTTTCACTTTTTCGCGTAATTTATTTCTCGATTATTTTTTTAACATTCTCGCTCGATTTTAAGTACAGAATTTCATTTTTTTTTTTCTTGTGATATATTAAATTTTTTTTTTTTTTTGTAAATTTTTTTCAGTTGTCAACGAATGAACATTTTATTTTCTTTTAAAAAATGAACTTTATTATTTTCTTTTAAATTCTTTTTTTTTACAATTTTTTATATATTTTATGGACTCTTTTTTAGTGCAGATAGGTTTCAATCGAAAATCTTTTTTAAAAATGATTTAATTACTAGTTTTATCAGAATCTTTATCTATTAATTTGTTCTTTCATAGTCATTATAGAGTAAATTATCAGTCAGTCAGTCAACCAATCGTACTTAGTTAAGTCCACTTTTAAAATAGAAATTCGAAATCGTTTTTTTATCAATCGAAAAAGAGAAATTTTTTGTGGGAAATCGCTGATCAATGAATTTTACGCTTTTTTTTTTCGTGTTAAATATTTTTGTAAATATATACTAACTAAAAATAAAGTTCAAAAAATTAGTAAATCAAATCACATGTCTTGAATTTCTATAACAAATGTTTTAACTATTTGCAGTCTCATAAAAGCTAAAAATGAAATCATTTTTTGTCAGCTGTTAAAAAAAATCCCAGTTAGGCTGTTTGGCTGGTCAGATTTTGTTATAAATTCATCCCCATTCATTTTTTTAAAAGAAAAAAAAAAATCTATTTTTTGTTTTTTTTTTAAAAAAAAAAAAAATGTCTACCAAAGCACCAAATTGCAATTGTGATGAAACCTGTAACTGTGGAAGTATGTCTGCGGAAACATGTACTTGCCCTAAAGACCACACTAAAGATACTAAAGGTAAAACTCCCACCACGAAAGATGAAACAAAGACGTGTGGTAATCCGTGAGTATCTTCAGTTTAAAAAATCTTTTTTTCTCAAAAAAAAAAAAAAAAATTGAATTTTTTCTAATATACACATAATTTGTATTATACTTTGTTAGTTCTTGCACTTGCGCTGAAGGAAAATGCGGTTGTGCTGTGAACGCATGCAATTGCGGGAAATAACGTTTAATAATTGAACGATTTTATGATTCTGAGATAATCAGATCATGTATAACTTTTACCTCTTTCTTTCAATTTTATCTTCGTGTGATATTTTCATTGGTTCTAAATTAGTAGTTTATAGTTTTGTTCTTTATACCTACTTCAAACTTATTTTGTATTTTAGAAGAACATTCTAAAATAAATAAATTTTATTATATTGTTACACTTGATCTGCATTTAAAATGATATTTAAATAAATATTTCTAACCAAGGTAATTAACTTGTTTGTAATCAGGATTTTTTTCTTTATTGTAATAAATAAATAAAAATATTAATGATTCTTAATATAGAATTACTTCACTATCTATTGTTATTATCTAACTGTTAAATAATCTAGAATATAATTTATCATGTCTACCTTGTAAAATATCCAATAAAGGATTTGTTTGTACAGCTTGATTTGATTGTAATTTACAAGTTTTTGCCAATGAATTTTCTACAAAAACTTGACATTCAGTTAACATTCTTTGAGCATAATATGGACCAACAATATTTAATCTTACAGCTGCACTTAGAATTGCTCGTGCGTATAAGAAAAGGTAGAGATGTTGGGTACGTTCTAATGTGTTTAAAATTAAATGAAAGAAGGATGTTAAAACCAAAGGAAAGAAGGATGTTAAAATTAAATGAAAGAAGGATGTTAAAATTAAAGGAAAGAAGGATGTTAATAATAAGAAATAAATAAATATAAATATAAGAGATATATATATATGTCTTACCTATAGAAATTCCCAGACATTTTGTTACCAACCCAAAACATATAGGTAAATGTCCATAAGAAGTTCCTTTTCTGATACGTAATTTAAATTCCTCCATTATCGAATTCCCTTTATTTCTATTATCAGAACTGTGATGATGATTATTATTATTATTATTAGAAGAAGATAAATTATTTTGATATTCTTCACCAAATGATTTACTAAATAATGTCAACATCGCGACACCTTGAGCTTTTGAAGCACGTTTTGTAATTTGGTTACTTGTACATGCTTCATATAAATCATCAAGTTCTATTATTTTCTCAAAGATTCCGTTATACAATGCTAGAACATTCTCGGATTCTTTATTATAGTCATTTTCGTCATCGTAATTGTTATCTTTAATATCTTTATCTTTATTATTATCTTTATCATCATCAATTCCAAATTTTACTGCATTCCAAGTATCAGTTACAAAAGGTAAAGAAGAATATGCATAGTTATCAATACTTGATTCTAAGAATATTGATAATGAATTAATATCTGCAACGTGACCTCCTTGTGTGGCTGATTCTAGCCCTGAAGAGGCTACAAATCCACCAGTAGGTAATGCTGAATCCGCAAATTGCCATAATAACCAATCTTCTCTATTGATATCTAATATTGAATTATTCATATTTTTGAAAATAAAACAATATATATATATCTAAAATTTTGATAATCTATTTATCAGATAATGAATTTATAAACCACGTGAAATTCGTTCTGACCAAAAAGTATTTTCCCACTGAAATTAATTAATACTATAAATAATTAGTACGGGAAAATTTTTACCGTAATGCGCAAAATAAAATCTCGTTTGTTCAAGTTCTATTCTGACGATCACTACTATCTATCGATGATAACTGGATGAGATAATGTCGAATTAAACCACACGACGTCTTAATACCTCAACGAATGAAATTATTTTATATATATTGAAATCACCATAATAGTAAACTTTTTCAAAATTTTCCCATAACATATTTTGTTTCAACTGTAAAAAAATGATTTCATAATTCTTTTATAAATCATTCCATCATTCGATTCCATGAAAAAAAAAGTAAAATAATGATACCAATTATTCAAAATTTGCCAAATTCATTTACTACTACATCATCATCATCATCATCATCATTAACATCGAAGACGTCAATTTCTAAACCTTTTTATATTCCTACTTCACCATTATTAAATTCATCATCATCAACACCACATTTTATCAATTATAATAACATGAAATATCAAGAAATACCATCAAATACTGCTAATACTAATAATACTCTTGGTTACGAAATTGTAAATAAATTAAACGATTTTAAGAAGGAGGAGGATAAAAATAAAAGTGATTTACCTTTCTGGAAAAGGTGGCAAAAGAAATTCCGAGAAGAGCAGTATCACCAATATCGCCAATACCGTCGAGGAGATATTGTGTTGGTGTTATAATTAATAACGAAATCATTTAATTCGTCGGATGTATAAAGAAAGAATAAATAAAGAAAGGTTAGAAAAAAAGAAAGAAGGCGAGAAGGAATTGTAAAAGAAAAAAGATTTTGTCAAGAAATTGTATTATTTTCCGTATTGAATTTTTTTATTTCTTGTAATTAGTTTTTATATATGAATTTGAATTATTTTCTGTATTTAGTTTTTTCGTTTTCTATATTGAATTCTTTTATTTTTCTGTATTTAATTTTTAACTTTCTGTACGTTCTATATTTAGTTTTTAACTTTCTGTACTTTCTGTATTTAGTTTTTAACTTTTGTATTTAGTTTATTTAGTAATTGAATTCTTCAATTTAATTTAAACACAATTATCACACGTTTTCATTTACTAGTTTCTTTATTCTTTTGTTTTATACGTTAAACTTGTTACTATAATTATGTGTTAATTTTTTTGTGAATAAATGCTATTTTTCTATTTTCCTAAATAATGTTTCTGTTGATCATTTTATTTACCTTTGCTTTTTTGTTATGGTCTTACGAAACCTCTTTTGAGTTTATAACATTTTCATACATTCTATAAAAATTATTTGTTACTATATTTACCGTAATATTTATATCTTTTTTTTTTTTTGTATTTTATCCAATCATGTAACGTATTCAATTTCTCGTGTGGGGGGCATACTTTGAATGATATAACTTATATACATAGGTACCTCCTTCAATAAAAAAGATGCATGAGAATGAAGGATAAAATGAGAAAAACGAGTAATGCAAAGTGACTAAAATGGCATCTCAGATGATGAACTGGATAATCGAAAAAAGAAACGTGTTACAAATGTGATACAGGTTGAACCATGTGAAAAGCAAAAAAAAAAAAATAATAAATCGTTACACCCATTTTTATTCATTTTATTTAAAAAAAAAAAAAAAAATTATATACAATTTTTAAAATAAGAGTTTTATGGTTGTTCTGATGGTTCTGATTGTTCGACTTCCATAGGAGCAGTTACATCCGTACTATCTAACATTTCTTCCAAGGGTTTACATTCCTATAAAAAAAAAAGAGAGATTAATTAAAAATTATAAAACACATATATATATATATAATTTTTCAAATATCTTACCCTTATAAATTTTTCGAATTCTCGATTTACGTTATTAATTTTTGTTTTTTTGGCAGCAATTCGCTCCGAAGTTTCTCTTTTTCGTTTCAGTTTATTATTAACTTCTTCTTTCAATCTATCTCCCAAAAAAGAAAATTAGATTAAATTGACATTCACAAAAAAAAAAAAACACTATAAATGATAATTCGGTTATTTACCTCATGCGTTCTTCTTTTTCAAAGTTTAACCTTTGAAGCATGAGATGATGTTGTTTCTGCTTTTCAGTTGCTCCACCTTCTGGGAGTGGTTTAGTCAACCTCTCCGGAGCTCTTGCAAAGAACTCTTCTTCTGGTATCAATGCTATCTTTTGATATTTTGATCTATTGAATTGAATTGAAAATTTCAATTTTTTTTTTTGAAACATTTAGATATAATATTATTAAATAAAAATATTTTTTTTTACAAACCTAAAAGATTTACATCTTCGAATTTCTCTTTCAAGAAAAGATTTCATATAATTAAGGTCTTGTAATTGTAAGTGGATTCGATCCATTGATAATTTTGCTTCTTGAGTGCTTAACTTATCCGCAGCTTTTTCTAAGTTAGCTTTACGATTTAATGACCGAAGTTGAACAAATGACCGAGTGAGTTGTTGCTTTATAGGTTGAATGAGATTTTCTGTAGATGTTCCATTTGCCAAAGTTGATCCGGACTGTTTAAAAGAATTTATTTTTTTTTTTTTTGAAAAAAAAAAAAAAAAATTAAATTCATATATTATTAAAGATGCATTATGTTGCGAATGAGTAAAAAGAAATAAAATAAAAAATAGTTTATGATATAATCTACCTTCTCGGCTCTTTGTAGAACATCGGAAGAGAGTTTTTTGATAGTATTACATTTATCACCAAGTTCAACTAGATGTGATAAAGTAGGAGCAATGTCCAAATCTTTATTATCAAAAGTACCGTTTGTCCCTTGTTGATTCATTGTTTCAAAGTTTAAGTAAAGTTTTAATATTTTCGTTGTGGACCCTATATTTTTAACGTTTTTTTTTTAGAGAGAAAAAAAAATATAGATACGCACATATATATATCACATAAATATCATATAAAAAAAAATTGTCATAATTCAATTATAAATGCATATTTTGTAATTTTTCTCACCGGAAAGAAATTATTAGAAATTATCAGAAATTGAAATATAACAAATAATATTAAAAAGAACCAAATAATATTAAGTTTGGATAGCGAACAAATATTAAATTTAAAGAGAAAATTGGGGAAAGTCTCTCGATATGAAAAAAAACACTTGAAAAAAGGGGAGTAAATATTGAAAAAAAAATTTTCAGCCACAGACACATATGCAGTATTACCTCGATCCCCTAATTTAAAGTTTTATTCACATGATTTCAATTTTTAGCATTGAGAAAACGGTTCATATGATGTCGTCGAAGATACAATACCAATTACAAAATAATTCAAATAGATCAATATTGGAATTATTAAAATTTTAAGTTTACTCTATAATTTTGGTACATTGAAATATATATATTCTAATAATAATAATAAATAAATAAATAATAATTAATAATTTTCTAAAATAATTAAATTATTTGTTATTTATACCCATTTGGATGAGACTGATGATATTTCCAAGCAGTTTTAACAATATCTTCAATTGTATTATATTTTCTCTTCCAACCAAGAATTTTTTCTGCTCTTTCCGATCCAGCAATTAATATGTCAGGATCACCAGATCTAGGTTCATCAATTATTTCAGGAATAGGATGCCCAGTAACTTTTCTAGAAGCTTCAATTACTTCTTTAACTGAATATCCCTCACCTGAACCTAAATTAAATTTATTAGATTTGTTTTCTCTTACAAGATATTCTAATGCTTTTATGTGAGCAGTTGCTAAATCTGTTACATGTACATAATCTCTAATACAAGTTCCATCCTTAGTATCATATTTATCACCATAAATTTTAATTTTCTCTCTTTTACCAAGAGCTACTTGAAGAATAAGCGGTATTAAATGAGTTTCAGGATCATGCTCTTCACCAATTTTTCCACTTTCATGAGCACCACAAGCATTAAAATATCTAAGACAAACGTATTTGATTCCATGAGCATCTTCAGTCCAAGCGAGAATCTTTTCAACAGTAAGTTTAGTATCACCATAAGGATTAATGGGTTTTGTAGGAGAATCATCTGGTATTGGGGTTTCTTCGGGATTTCCAAAAATAGCAGCAGTAGAAGAAAAAATGAAATATTTGACATTATGTTTTTTCATCGCTTGTAATAAATAAATTGTGCCAACCACATTGTTTTCGTAATAACCCAAAGGATCGGTAACACTTTCACCTACAGCAATAGAAGCACAAAAATGCATCACAGCCTCTGGTTTATGTTTCGTGAAGACACGTTCTAAAGCTTCTTTATCACAAATATCGGCATTCTCAAACTTAATACCAACAGGAATCGATTCCACATGACCTTTGGAAAGATTGTCTATAATAATAATTTCGTAATGAGATAGAGTTGAAAGTTCACGAACAATATGAGAACCAATATAACCGGCACCACCACAAATAAAAACTTTCATATTGTGGTTTTTATTAAATAAAAATATTATAAACTTTGTTGACAGATTTAAATAAAAAAAAAAAAAAATTTTTTTTTAAATTAACAATGAACAATGGTAATACCAAATTAGTTTAGTAATAATAACACACATGCAACAGGTGTAACAAACTAGCCACTTTTTAATTAATTTTTTTGATCAAAAAGATCTGATCATCTAAAAATATTTCCACATTACAATCTTTATTCTCGTAACGAAATATGTCACACAATCGCTCAGATAATGCCGAACGATTAGAACAATTAAGAACCCGAGTTAAGATAGATCGTGATGGAGTGAACAGCGTATATATATATATATATATATATCATAAATTTACATTAAGTAAATTATTTCAAATAAATTATGAGACACTTTTTAAAAACTGTATCGCATTTAGATTTCTTCAAGCGATTTTCCCTTTCATAGTTCTAATGCATATCCAGAATTTGATTCGATTGAGATTTTTCGAAAGGTAATTAATAAATAAATAAGTATTTGTAAATATATATATATATATATTTTTAAACTAACTCGATCTTATCATTATTTTGAAAGAAATTAAAAATCAAAGTGATTAAAAAATCCCAATTTGAAATGGAATTTGATCTGATTGGAATAGATGCAGCAATTGCAAATGCATTAAGACGTGTCATGATTGCAGAGGTTTGTAAATTTTTATTTTTTTTAAATAAAGGAATTAAAATAAATCTTTTTAAAAAAAAAAAATTAAAAATAAATCATATTAAAATATATATATATATATATATATAGGTACCAACGATGGCAATTGAAAAAGTGTATATTTATGACAATACATCGATTATACAAGATGAAGTACTTGCGCATCGTCTAGGATTAATTCCTATCAAAGTTGATCCAGATTTATTTTATTTCAAACACGGTTAATATTATTTTATCATTTATTTATTCATTTATCATTTATATTTATTCATTTATTCATTATTTATTATTTTATTTATTCATTATTTATTATTTAATTATTTAATTATTTATTATTTATTTATTTCATTATTTATTTATTTATTTTTTGTTTTTAATAGAAAATGAGAGACCAACAGATATGAACACAATAGTATTTAAAATAAATCATGAGTGTCGTTACAATCCCAAAGTGCGAGATGATGAAAGTGACCCAAAGCAACTTTATATTGGACATAATCGTAAATATTGCAAAATTTTCAATCATTCATAATATCAATTCTGCATTTTTTTTCCTATTACTAATTAAAAAAATTTTCACATTTTTTTTTTAAAAAAAGTTTTATCTTCTTCATTAATTTGGGATCCTAAAGGTGAACAAGCCGAACGATTTACTGATAATCCAATAAAACCAGTTCATGATGATATTTTAATCGCACAAATGAGGCCTGGACAGGTGACGATAAATAAATAATTAAATAATCAATAAATTATATTTAATAACCTATCATTCAATTTGTTGTCATTTTTTTATTATTATAGAGGATGGAATTAGAAGCACATTGTGAAAAGGGAATTGGCAAGGAACATGCAAAATGGTCACCAGTTGGTAATAATAATAATAATAATAATAATAATAATAATAATAATAATAATAATAATAATAATAATAATAATAATAATAATAATTAATTATACATTTGTGTGTGTAAAATAGCAACTGCAACATACCGTTTAATGCCAGAAATTATTATAAAAGAAGAAATTACCGGAGATTTGGCTGATAAATTTGCAGCATGTTTCTCCAAAGGTGTTGTTGATGTTGTGGAAAAAGAAAGTAATATTCTTATTTATTTATTAATTAATTAATTTTTATTATATTTTATTTTTATTACACATTCTTTTTTAATATTAAAATTAATAATGATAATAATATTATGATTATTAATCAATAAATAAATAGTAAATAATGAAATGGTAAAAACAGTCAAAGTAGTTAATCCACGACTTGACACAGTTAGTCGGGAAGTTTTGCGTCACAAAGAATTTGATAATAAAGTTGAACTTACAAGAATAAGGGACCATTTTATTTGTAAGAATTATTTTCTTTTTTCGTAAATTATTATTTTTGTAAATTCTGATTCTAATTTGAATTTTATTCTAATCCAATTTAATTTGAATTCTAATTTTATAATTTTATAATAATAATAATAATAATAATAATAATAATAATAATAATAATAGACACAATTGAATCTACGGGTATTTTGGAATCAGAAAGAATTTTCATTGATGCTATACATATTATGCAAACAAAATGTTCTAGACTTTTACTTGCATTAGAAAATAAATTAAAAGAATTAGAGGATGAACGAAATGTGATGTCTTTAGATGATGTATAGAAATTGTATTAATTAAATATTTTTATTTTATTATTTCCAATATCATTTCCAATATCATTCCAATATCATTTCCAATATTATTCCCAATATTATTTATATTATTTCCAATATTATATCCAATAATATTCTGTCCAATTTATATCCATTCAGTTGAGGTAGATTTTTTCATTATTTGTTGTTCATTAGAAGATGTCTTCGTTTTTATAGGAGATTTTGGAGATTGTGATTCACTTGATGATTGTATGTCACTTGTTGACTTTGAGTTTCTAAATGAAGTTCCAAATGAAGTTCCGAATGCTATTTCAAGAAAAAAATTTTATTTTTATTTATTATTATTTTAGTAAAAAGAAAGACTTTAAAATAAACCAAATTTACCATAATTTTTTATAACATAATCATCATCAGACATTTCGGTAATAGGATTACAAAATTTTTTATAAGCTAGAATATCTCGTTCAACCGTTTCCGCATTTTCCACATTTTCCATATATTTCACATTTCCCAAACGTCCAATGATATCTTCAAGTTTAGTAATTTTCATATTTACCATATCTTGATATTCTTGATAATTCATTTTTGACCATAATAAATGTAAAGTGAATGAACCAAAAAATGTCCAAAGTAAATATTGAGATAAATGTGGATACAATTTTTTCATGGTTATTTTTGGAAAATTCCTAACTTCACCACCAGTAGAAGAAACAGCAGCTGCTGCAATTGATGATTTAGGATTTTTTATCATTTGTTGAGAAGATGAAGTAGAAATATATCTAAAAGATTTCGTCGTCGTTCGCCGTAAAAAATTGAAAATCATCATTGTCGATCACGTTCGAAAAATCAAATCTGATATCAAAAAAACAGTTGTATCAACTGACATCATAATATATTAAGTAATAACTGGTTAGTATTAACGATGAGCATTAAATAAAAACTCTTAAAAAATTTCCATGTTCACGTGATCGCGACATTTAAAACTCACCTTTTTGGTGATAAATCTTTAAAAAAAAGTATAAATAAACGTTATTTTCCTTTATCATTTTTAAATCGAACCAAATTTTTTTTTTTTTTGAAATTAGTTGTAATCAAAAATATATATATAAATATTAAATCTTTGGTAAAAATATCTTTAAATTTTTTTAAAAAAAATATTTTTGAACTTTTTGAATTTTAAAAATTGTACACTGTTTTTTTTTTAAAAAAAAAATCTAATAATAGTTGATTAACCAAATGGACAAAGTTAAAAAACCAAAAGCGAAATTTTGGCTTCACGATCCGCTTTCCTCTTCTCAACGTATAATGCATATGGCACGAACTTTTCCTCCCGAAGTACTCCCATTAATAGTAATTGTTACTGCGGGTCTGACGGGAGGTATAGTGGCTATGGCGCATAAATTACATACTGATAATCAATTAAGAAAGTTTCGTCAACATCCACTTAATCAACATAATCAACTACAACAATAATATTTATTTTTTTTATTTCATATAATTATATTGTAATAATAGTAAAATTTTATCTTTTTAAAAAAAAAATTAAATCACGAGTTTAATTTATATATTCTGATCTTTTTTAATGTGTTGATCAAAATGTGTGCGCGAGTTATTATTATTATTATTATAAAATTAACAATAATAAATTATTCCATTGATTATTCTTTATTCTTTTAATTATTCTTTTAAAAAAGGTACTTTACAAACGCTTATACATATATCCATAATTTCATAATTCTGTTCGTAATTAATGCCTAATGGAGATAAAGTTTGTTTTCTTGACATAATAATAACAGGACTTAACTTATCCCTAATTCAATGTGTAGTGAAACAATGGGCAATACCAAAGAAGGAAATTTAGTAATATTGAGAAATATTTGCAAAATTCATCTATTTCAAATATAGAAGACATTGCCACGAAAAATTCATAATTTGGGAAAGAATTCAACAAAGGACAAAAAATCAGACAGGAAAAATCCCTTATCAGTAATAACAACAGATTAACTCAATAAATTTAAGGGTCTACATAATTATGGCATGGATTATGGGTTCAGGTGAAATACGTAACTCTGTTTCAATACAGCAGTTTTTTTATGCAAAGAGTAGGCTATTGGCGAAATTTATAAACGGTATTATCCTTTATGTATTTTATTTTGTTTTTAAATTTGAATATTTATTTAATAAACGTCTTTGGAGCGAGGCTCCATTGGTTAAAAAAAAATAATAATTTCATAATTTCTCACATGTTACCATTGATACGGGATGATTATTTTTAAATGTAAAAATCTCTTGTATATTTCTTTCTCTGTGATACCATTGTGATGGTTGCGTGGTGTAATGGTTAGCACCCAAGACTCTGAATCTTGTGATCCGAGTTCGAATCTCGGCGCGACCTGTTTTGCTTTTTACTTTAACTGCTAATATCGAGAATATCAAAATATCAAAATATCAAAATATCTCGGAAGCATTTTTTTTTTAAAAAAATAAAAAATTTATTATTTCCTTTTTTTTATTATTATTCCTTTTTTTTTTTATTATTCTTTTTTTTTAAAAAAAAAATTAAAATATTAATAAAGAAGAGATCATCTTTCTGGAAATTGTGTCGTAAAAAAAAAAAAAAATCATTCAGAATTCTAAGAATTTAAGGTGAATGAATGCAAAAATTATTAAAAATTTCGGAACTGATAATCAATTCACATCCGTCAAAATCCGAGAGTAACGCTAACGCCCCAATATTTTTATATATATATATAGAAATTCATCTACTTCGAAAATAATATAACTTTTCGAAAAAAATTTATCATTCATTAAAAATCATAAAAAAAAATATATAAATATATTAAATATTAAATATATATATTAAAATATATTTTTAAATATAATATATAAAGTATAAAAATTAAAAAATCAAAGTGAAAAAAATGTATGGTTTTCGTAAAGTCTCTGTTTTTATGGTGGCGGCGGCGGTTAGAGCCGGTAATAAAAGATCATTTTCTTCAACCGCCGCTATCAACACAGCAAAAGTAGCTGTACTTGGAGCTGCGGGAGGTATCGGACAGCCCCTTTCCCTTTTACTTAAACATAATGAATTAATTTCCAATTTATCACTTTTTGATATTGTAAATACTCCCGGAGTTGCTGCTGATTTAAGTCATATCAGTACTCATAGTAAGGTAATTATATCAATTATTTTTTTTTTGTTTTTTTTTATCAATCAATTCATCTGTTAATGATTACAAACCTGTTTATTACATATTACATAATATATAATAATAATTTGTCATTTGTTTATGTAAATAAGGTTACTGGTTATCTTCCTGATAATGATGGTCTACAACATGCAGTTTCTGATGCGTCAATTATTGTAATTCCGGCCGGAGTTCCTCGTAAACCTGGCATGACCAGAGATGATTTATTTAATGTATGATTATCATTAATATCTATTATTGTTAATAAAAAGTTATTTTATTTATTTTATTTTATTTATTCTATTTATTTTATTTTATTTTATTTTATTTTATTTTATTTATTTTTATTTATTTATTTATTTATTATTTATTAGACTAACGCTGGGATAGTTAAAGATTTGGCTACTGCCGCTGCCAAGTATGGATAATCATTTGATTGATTGTTTTTTTTTAATTATTAATTTTAAATTTTTTTTTTTTTTGTTTTGGTCATAATGATAGATATGCACCTAACGCATTTCTAGCAGTCATATCTAATCCAGTTAATTCTACAGTACCAATTGTCTCGGAAATATTTAAGAAATTTGGAGTTTACGATCCCAAGAAGTAATTAATTCGTGAAATTCACAATATAATAATGCAATATAATGCTAATATAGTAATAATATAATAATACAATAATATAATTTTGATTATGAATAATAGAATTTTCGGAGTTACGACGCTTGATATTGTTCGTGCAGCACGTTTTGTATCTGAAATCAGGGGTACAAATCCCAAACATGAGAAAGTAACAGTTGTTGGTGGTCATTCTGGTGTTACTATCATACCTTTATTATCACAATTAAATGCTAATTTCACGGAAGAAGAAATTAAGGCATTAACACATAGAATTCAATTTGGTGGAGATGAAGTAGTTAAAGCTAAAGCTGGTAAGTGTTTTTTTTTTTTTTTTTAATCTAATATATATATATGTAATGATTAAAAAAATATAATGATGAAATAATATGTAATATAATAAGTAAGTAATTACGAATTATTAATTAATATCCAATTACAATTATACTATATATAAATAAATAATAGGTACAGGGTCAGCTACACTTTCTATGGCATACGCAGCTGCACGATTTACGGATTCATTACTTCGTGCATTGGTTATTAAAGAAGCTGGTATCATCGAACCGACATATATTAAATCGAATTTGTTTGCATCCAAAGGAATTGAATATTTCGCTTCAAATGTAGAAATTGATTCGGAAGGGGTGAAACAAGTCTTTCCATTGGGTCGGGTCAGTCCATACGAAGAACAACTTGTTGAAGGCGCTTTACCCGATTTAAAAAATAGTATTGAGAAAGGTATTAAATTTGTTCAGAATAATTAAATAGAATTTAATCATTACATTAATATTATAATTAGTAATGTTATAATTAATTAAGTAATAAATTCAAATGAGAAAGATATATATTTATTAGATAGTTAATAATTATTTTTACATATTATTATATATTAGAGATAATAAAAGGTGTAATAAATAAATAAAGAGGAAATAGTTTTAGAATATAATTTTATTTATTTATTTGAAATCTTTCATTACTTTAAAGTATTTAATAAAATAATTTACAAATTTCACATTTAATAATATAATAATAATAATAATGTTGTAATAATAATAATATAATAATAATAGTAGTAATATAATAATAATATAATAGTAGTAATGACTTTAAAGACAAGTAATACAAAATATTTTCATTGTAATTCTATAAAACTACAGTACAAAAAATAAGAATAGATCATTTCCATTCATTTTTTCTTTTTTTTTCAACTTTTTTGAATTTTTTTCTTTCTTAGGAGAATAATAAATAATAAAATAAAAAATAAAATAAAAATAATAATAATATAATAATAAATAATAATAAAATTTATATAGTACAGATAAATTGATGGATGTTATTAATTCCCAAGAAAGTAAATTTAAAATAAGTTGATGTAATATAATAGATAATATAGAGGTGGGATGGGTGATGTAATATGATAATAATAATAATTATAGAATATATATTTAAAGAATATATATTATAGAACACATTATAAAATATATATTATAGGATATATATCATATAATATATTTGTGTATATAATAGAAGTACAATGAATAAATTAATAATAAAAAAAAAGGAACTTGGAATATAAATAATACATAATTAAGAAATACGAAAGATTATTAAAAAAAAAAAAAAAAAAAAAAACCGTAAAAAAATAAAATATTATTAAAAAATATATATATATATAAAAATAAGTATAATGCAAAATAATAAATAATAAAAAAAAAAATTGTTATACAACAACTGAATATGAAAATAAAATATAATAATAATAATAATTATATAAAATAACCGTAATATTTTTTTGGTAATTTTTTTCTATTTCTCTAAAATAAATGGTGAAATGGTGGTGGCGATGGTGGTGGTTGATGGTACATGTGCGTTGTGCGTGTCCCGAACTTTTTTTATATAAACAAAACCAAAACCCAAATATATTTTATATATATTTCTCTCTCACAATTATTACCCAAATTAAATACAAAATACATATATAAGAATTTTTTTTTTTTTATCAAAAATTATAACAATAAGAATTATTATAACAATTGAATTATTATATGAATTTATGCCCAGATTATTTTTACCAGATCCCCAAATATAAACAAAACATTTTCCATCATTCATATTGATTAGAGGATTAGAGGATTAGAGGATTAGAGATGTCAGTGGTTGATGTAGTTGATGTGGTTAATGTCGATTTTTATTGTTAATTTATTATTATTTTTATTGTTTGTTAGCAATCGTTAGTTTTTGTTGTTGAAGATATTTGATATTGATTGTTATGATATTGTTTGTCGTGATTATTTTATTTAAGAACTCATAGAATTATTGGCGGTTGGAGATTTTATATTTGGTTCGGTTTTTTCAACATTCATTTGTGGAGAATGATGTCCATTAGTATTACTGGAATTATGTTCTAATGAAACTTCTGATCTTGTTTGACGTCCTCCTCCATTATTATTGTTATTAGTTGGTTCATGATCGGAATGATATCCTCCGTGATGTGATGACGCGTTATTGGCTGAATGATGTGCTCCACCATTATTATTATTGCTATTATTATTATTGTTATTGTTATTATTATATAAATGATAACCGTCAACATACTCCTGTGTGTGATAAGCGGGGGATGTTAATGGATGATCTGGTAATTCTGATGATTGAGGAATTTCTATTTTCATATATGGTTTATTTCCTCCGGTTCCTCCTGTTACTGTTGATGTCGTAGTGTTATTTGTGGCATTCGTCACATTGGCATTATTAGTTGAATTTGAATTTGTCCCTTGACGTGATTCAAAACTTGTAAATGCTGAATGTGACGATGATGTCGTTACTCCTTCCATATGCATCTCCATTTGTCCATGTTGATGATGGACTTTTTGATCATGATGATGATGATGTGGTGATCCATTAACCATTGAATCATTATACATTTCAGGTGGTTGTTGTGATTGGGAATTTTGATTTTCACCTGAATCTTGTTGCATCCCTTGTACCATATATTGTTGTGCTGCTGCCGCCGCTGCTGCGTGTGGATGTTGTGGATGAAATGGTGAAGCGGATTGTCCATTCGGTGCTGTTGCCATCATTAATCCTCCCGCTACTGGTGGAAATCCAGTAAATGGAGGATATTGTCCATATGGTCCTTGAAATGGTGCACCATTAAAATCTGGTGGCATCATTGGTGCTCCATTTGGTCCTTGAGGTGGATATCCTATGTGACGATCATTTGGAAATGCGGGGTTCATTGCCATAGGATTATATCTATCATGATTATCAGCATAATGACCAGGTGATCTACCACGTACAACTAATGGTGCAGAAGTTGAAGTTGCGACACGAAATTGTTCACCAGTTTCAGTTTGGGCATAAAGATCTACCAACACAACATAATATTGTTGTGCAGCTCTACGTTTACCATTATTAGCTGTGGCAGTTTTAAATTGAATACGTTCAAATGTAACAATATTTGAATTTGAACCGACAGAACTTAAATTTAAATTTCCTCCAGCACGAATAGGTTTAGGTACAGGAACCATTTGTGGTCCTTTATCTCTTTTTGGAGTATGTTGAACTAATTCAATTTTTTTGTCACTATTAGATACTCTGGCTGTGATACCCAATAAAAATTGAGTTACGGTATGAAATTGCCCATCAACTTCAAGTAAACAAGGAGCATCTGTTTCATTAATTGGATGAGTAGTACTAGAGATCGAGAATGCACTACTAATTTGAAAATAATTCCTTCGATAACATGTCCAATCGTTATCAGCTAAGAAGAAACCACGATCAACTTTGGAATTAATCTTGAGTTTATAGCTATATTTTAAGATGTGATGATATTTTGATAAATATTATAAATATTATAAATATTATAAATGATAAATGGTATAAATATTATAAATGTTTATAAATGTTTTATAAAATGTTTTATAAATATAATCAATCAATCAACCAACCTAATGGATCTATCCATACTATAGACATTGTAATGTTGAGAAGTGGCGGAAAAGAATGGTCCAGCGTCTTGAGGGAATCCCATGGCATCTGTTCTACGTTTTCTTATAACACCTTGTTGAAATGGTGCGGCATGAAATGATGATGTGGTAAAGGTAGGTCGATTATCAATAACCTTTCGATCAGTTGCATTTCCTGATGAATTTGGATTTGCACTGTTGATAGGGGATACATTATTTCGAGAGGGTAATGCTGGTGCAGCCATTGATACAAAGCTATTAATTAAATGTAATGAAGATTTTTCATAAATTGTTAATGATTATTATTATTATTACAAACAAGCGAAATGAATAAATGAAATGGAATGGAATGGAATGAAATGAAATGAAATAAATGAAAGAAGAAATATTTTGTAATGGAAATGCACAACGTTTTACAATATAATTCCAGAGCATAATTTACCATCCCCTTCTCATTCCCACCTTAACACTTCGTAATATCTTCTTACTATACTCACGTGTATATATATATATATATAAATATATATAAATATAAATATATACAACAAAATACGAAATACGAAATACGAATTACAAAATACAAAAAATACAAAATACAAAATACGAAATACGAAATACAAAATTATTTGTAATAAAATTTTTCATCACGAAAACTACCTTTTGAGTGACGATAAATGATAAATAGTAAAATTGTTAAACGAATAACTGGTACTGGGGAAAGAATTACAAGTAATAATAATAGGTAATAAATAGAGATACACATTGTGGATAGAGGGGTATTTATGTGTTTCAAGGATGTGAAGATGAATGTGGAATGAATGTACGAAATAATTATTTGCAAATAATATCTAAGGTAGGATAATTAAAGACAAGAAAGGAAAAGGGAAGGTAGGAGAAGGCATATAGTAATATATTATAGGACAATGATTACAAAAAAACTTTCTTTTGGTCACTAGTGTAAGGTAACACGCGGCGGGAAGAAACATTAACTTGCATTTTTTTTGTACAAAATGTACAAAATGTACAAAATGACAAAAAAAAAAAATGAGAAAAACGTGGAAAGGTAGAACAACCGAACACACACACACACACACACAATTATTATTATACTATTTCTCTTAGACTATTGTTATTATTATACTACAACTACACACACAGCGCACACAGACACACGCGCGCGCACACGCTATGCTCACACTACACTACACGAACTATTTTTTTCATACCATTTTTCACATTATTATCCCACACTATGCTCGTTGTGGAAAAAAATGTAAAACGTGCGCGAAGTACAAAGAATACTGTCAACTGTCATCATGAAACCATGAAACCAAAAAAAAAAAAAAAAAAAAAAAGTATATATATATATATCAATATTTTTTTTTGAAACTTACATTTGAGGATGCATTTGACCTGGAGCCTGTTGACCATCGTATTGAAATGGTTGCATAAAGTTTTCCGAAGGCATACCATTCATTTGTGGAGACATTGTTGGGTGAGTATGGTGATGTGGGGAAGGAGGAACTTGTGATTGTTGAATAGACCACTTTTCTTCAGTAATATTCATGGTAATGAGATTATTAATTATTAATTATTAATTATTATTATTATTATTGTTGTTGTTTTTCAGACTTGTAAAAAAAATATTAAAATATTAAAAAAGTTTCCCCAGTGCTTTTTTTTTTTTTAAAAAAAAAAAAAAATCGGTGAATAGTAATTGATAAATAACGAATAGTAATATAAATAGATGAATGAATAATAGATATATGAATGGTAAATAGATGAATAATAATAAATAATTAAATTAAAAATGGTTTCAATTTAAAAATTTTTTTTTAAGGAAAAACGTGAAATTAAAAAAAAAAAAAAAAAGGTCACAATGAAAATTTAAAATTAACATGTAATCATGTAATTAATTTAATTACGATTGAAAATACTAGAACTAATTAGTATTAAAAAATGAAAAGAGAAATAGATTGAATAGATTAAAAATGGGGTTGAAAATGGGTTAAAAATGGGTTAAAATGAGGTTGGGGGAAAGTGAGAAAGTGAAAAGAAGTGAAGAGTAAGAAGTATTAATAATTGATTGAAAAAAAAAAAATGATGAAATGATAAATGATTGAGATGATGATAATGATGAATAATAAATAATATGATAATAAAGAATGATTGATGATGAATGATGATGTAAACGATGATGGGTTATCGAAAAGAATTATTAAATATTATTATAATAAAATTTTTCTATCGTTAAAAAAAAAATTAAGAATTTTATTTTTTGAATGGAGGGAAAATAATAACAATAATTTTCGAATTTTTTCGTTTTCAATTACAATTCACCGGAAATAGGATAGCTTGTACCTGGATCCCTTGGAAAGCAGGGGAAAAGTGGTCCAATGTTACTCACCTTTTATAATCACACAAGTTGACCTTTTTTGCTCAAGAACTCTGGAGAGATGTTTTGAAAAGAAAAAAAAAAAAATAAAAATGAGAGGAATTCTCGTTTTATATGTTATATTGTAAAGAAAAATAAAAGTAACCAATTAGAGATCATTTAAGAATTCAATAATTGAAACTTTCCACTTAAGGTTTTTGATTGGTCACGCAAAAAAGAATCCCTAATTTCAAAAATCAAGTAGTGAACCGGTAATTGCATAGATGTGGTTCGAATGTAATGAAGCAGATAGACATTTATTACTCAAATTGGAAAAAAGCGTTACTCATGACCAAATGCATAACAAAACGAAAACCTTCTTTGATTAAATTAAAAGCGGTAAAATAAAACCACTTAAAACTTTAAACCAATTAACAAGAAATATTATAAATATAATAAATATTTTTTTTTATATATAAAAATGTCTTAATGTAAAAAATTATAAATAAATCAATCATCTAAATATTTATTATAATAAATATTTTTATTATAATATTATAAATAAATAAATAACAATATATTATGTACAAATTATGTACAATCTATGTATTGTGGTAAAATTTGAATGAATATGAATAAATATGAATTTTTTACATATGTAGAAATTAAAAGCAACTTCCATTAATGAAATTAATTTCACTAAAATATAAATAATATATAAATATTTGATGATAATAAATATTTGAAAGATATTTTATTCTTTGATTTCCAATAATAAATATAATAAATTTAAATTTATTGATTTTTGATAGTATTCTTATTATATTAGATTATCATAATTATTTTATATTATATATATTATTACTATAATCTATATTATTATATTATTACTATATTATATATTACTATAATCTATATTATCATTATATATATTATTATTACTATAATTTATATTATTATTACTATAATTTATATTATTATTTATTATTATTTATTATTATTATTATTATTGTTATTATTATTATTATTATTATTATTATTATTATTATATTATTATTATTATTATTATTATTATTATCTATTATTATGCAATATTTTAACAATATATATAGCCAAAACGCCCATTCACCTTATCCAGTATAGATTTAAGTCGGTGCATTCACCGCGGGTATTTTTGGCTGTAAAAAAAAAGATATACTGTCTTTTATAGTTATGATGTATACGTATGCTGTTTATACATACATGTTTATTTTATATTCATGTATATGTTTAATAAGTTTAATTGAGTTTGTTATATTAATGCATTACAATCATTCACGAAAAACAACTTATCAATAATAATAATAAATAATAATAATAAATAAATAATAATAATAATAAACTACTATATTAATGTATGAACTAATATCAAAACGACTTTTTTTTTTTCTTCTTTCTTTTATTTTTTTGTCAAATAAATAAACTTTTTGCTTTTTACAAATTTTACAAATTATATAAATTAGACAAATTAAACTAACTATACTCATTATATAAATTATATAAATTATATAAATCCTTTACTTACCCTTTTGTCTTTTTTTAACAATTTTTTTAAACGCTTTTTTACACTCTTTTGATAATAAATAAATAAATAAATAAAAGATTATAAATACTGTATGTATATATTTTAATTTATTTAATTTAATTTATTTAATTAATTTGATAAAATGATTCATGATTAAAAAAAAAAAATCACTAAAAAAACGAAAAGATTAACAGCTTTAGAAATTTTAGCCAAACAAAAATGTACAACTTACGAACTGCACAGCCTATGTATGAGCTGTTAAAGAAGCAAGTTTTAGAAAAATCTAAATAAATTAAATAAATCTAATTTATTTAAGGAATAATATCGTGTTACAGAATTAATTAGTGCATTTAATTATTACACAACATCTCATAAAACAACAACATATAAACAACAACGTATAAACAAAATATCTCGGATATCGAAAATCGGAAATGGGATGACAAAAAAAAAAAAAAGAAAAAAAAAAAATCTTAAAATTTTCCCTTCAATAAAATAAAATAAAAAATCCCAAAAAAAAATTTTCGTTTTTGATAAAGAAATGTAAAATATTGTAATAGGAAAAAAAGAAAAAAAAAAGTTTTGTGTGGAGATTTTCGGAATATAGATGTTCGAAATGCATTGGCTCGTGCTGTTTCAACGAGATGCATGCACGTGATAAACTAAAAAAATGCAAATTTAATTTATTTCATTTTATTTTAATTATTAATTATTTAATTTATTACGTACGATACTATATTTAATAGTATTATTAGTTATCTATTATTATTTATTATTGGAAGTTTTATTCTATTCATTTTTGTCACTTTTTCCATGATGAATTTCTAGAATTTCTAAGTTCAGCTAATAAATAAATAATAAATAAATAATAATGGTAAGAATAAATAAATAATAGTAATTAATAATTAAAGTTAAAAATAATTTATCTGTTTATATAAATAGATCATTCACATTTTTGTCTATAGTACACACATTAACTTATTTATATTAATTTGATTATTTCAAAAAAAAAAAATGTTGAATAAGATAAAAATAGAAAAAATTGTAAATTGTTATATCATATAGTTATGAGATACAGATGTAGAGTTATGAGATGAGATATATTATTTAAATATATTATTATATCATATATATATTTATTAAAATTCATTAATTTGTAAATCTTTGAAAAGTTATCAAGTATGTAATGTAATTGTAAATATTTGTAAACTTTATAAATTATAAATTTAAATTTAAATAAATAATACAATAGTACAGCATGTTATACATAACTCATTTATTATTAATTTTAATTAAAAAAAGATTCAAAATTAAAATAATAATAATAAATAATTTAAATTAAATTAATAATTAATAATTAATTAATTTGAATTTGAATTAATTAATTCAATATAAAATTGATTTGATTTTTAAAAAATAGTATAAAAAAAAATAGAAATAATATAATTATATTATTTTTATTTAAGTTTGAACCATAATATAACTAGAGATTTGAGTTAAAAAAGTTTAAAATAGTTTAAATATAGTTAATATCTAAACCTTAAACAAATAATTTGAAATATTTTAGAATTTGAAAAATTTAAAAAAAAAAAAAATAAATTTTAAATTGTTTAATCTTATTTTTATAATATAGTTTAAGATATTTCAAAAATTAATTATCTATTAAAAATTTGTTTTTTAATATAAAACAAATAATAGAAATATATGGTTTTAGGATTATAAAATATTTTTTAAAATTATCACTTTTTAAAAAAATTTATTTTATATTAAAAACTATTCTTTAAAATATTTATTAATTAAATTATATTATATAAATTATATAAAAATATAGAGAATATAAGTTTATTATAAAGAAAATCAATAATTCAATTACTTTAAAATTATAAAAATAATAATTCAATTATAGAATTAATTACAGTTGAGATTACTTTCTAAATGTCATTATTTAAAATTATTCAAATCTTATTTGAAAATTATTTTAATTTCCTCTGAGGTGGAGAAAAACTTATCCTTTTTATAATATTTAAAATCTTGATCAGTAATTGTACTAATTAGTTGGTCACTAAGTTGGTCAATCAGTTGGCCACTAAATTGGTCAGTAAATTGATCAGTAACTAGGTTACTATGATTTACATTATTGATTTACCTAATTTGTATTACACTATGAAATAAATAAATACTAATTATAGCTAATAATTAAAATATACTAAAATATATTAAATATATTAAATAATTATACTAATAAAATAATACAAATAAGAAATAATAAAATATTAAGAAAATTATTAAAATGGA